GCGTCTCTTTGACTTCCTGGTACGCTTATCCTTTGCTGCCACCCACCCCGCTGGCCTGCAGTGTGCGAGAGCGACGCGACGTGGCAGAAGGCACGCCTGATTGCCGATGCGCAGCAGAGCAGCTACACCGCCGGCTGGAGCGCGCTGGGCGGCGCCGCGTTTGCGTTTGCCAACACCACAGTCACCGGCGGCGGCTACAGCGCGTACCAGGCGTTCAACAACCTGTACAACCCAGAGACAGCCATGTGGGGCACCACCGGCACCTCCTCAACGCTCAGCTCCACCAACCTCACCTGCGCCTGGTGGTTTCCCACCTCCTCCCTGTGAGTGGGCCAGGCTGCGCTGCCCTTGCTGCGTTTGGGCGCATGCCCGCATGGGAGTGGAGCAGAAGGAAGGAGTGGAAGGCTTGCAACTGTCTTGCAAGCCTGTGCACACCTGGCTGCTTGCAGCGCCGGCGTGAAGCCTGCCGGCTCGCCCCGCTACTGGGGCGTGCGGCTGACCGTCCCGGCGAGCGACAAGGTGTCGGACAAGTGGCCGCTGATGCTATTCATGCTGTCGGAAGTGGCCCCCTCAGCCTTCAGCTTTGGTGGGTGGACCCGGCTGTGTGTGGAGGCCTCGCTTATGTTGTGCCAGCTTGCTTGGTCTGCTAAATAGGCATGCTGTTCATGCATGTGTGCACATGGGTAGCGTGGCAGGCTTGCCTGCTTCTCTGATGGTCACCTCTTTGACCCTTCCTGCCACCTCTTTGCCCCCCTGCAGCCACGCCACTGGCCGCCACATTCTGGACCGCCCCCAGCACGCAGTTCTGCGCCCTGCTGATGCCACAGATGGCACTTTCCAACAAGGGGAAGGTCCTCTCGCTGCCGTGCATGGCAGGAGGTGAGCGCGCTAGCTCTGGCCTGTTGCTGCGGCGGCATTTGGGCTTGCCGGTGGGGCCTGCTCTTGGCTGAATGCTTGCAGCAGCCGCATTGCTGTCAACTGAAGCCGACCTGTCCCGCGCTCATCCCCTCGTCCCCACATGCCCTGCAGGTTCCACCTTTGTCTCTGATGCCAAGTACCTTGTCGGCTTTGCCATTCAGGATGCCGGCACCAAGAGCGTTCCGCGCTGGTCGGAGCTGACGTACGTGTTTGGCGCCGCCGTCTCGCCGCCACCACCGTTGCCTCCCTGGCCGCCCTCCCCGGCACCACCACCGTCACCGGCTCCGCCGCCGCCCTCCCCAGCGCCACCGCCGCCCTCGCCCCAACCACCACCGGCCCCAGCGCCGCCACCCCGCCCCCCGGCACGGCCCCCACCACCTGCACGTCCGCCGCCCCCGGCCAAGCCACCGCCACCTAGAAAGTGACGGGTTGGCAACTGCATCGCTGGCGTGACCGCTGATGGCATCTCTTGATCAATACGCACCTCGAGAAGTGCCTGCATTTACGCAATTATCGTGTTCCTGCCCTCCAGTGTTTCAGCGTCTTGTTTCATTGATTTCGAGGCATGTGTGTTATTATTCCTGTCGGTAGCTGTGGGCAGCTGGCAGCTGCCGCCTGCTGGGGACGCTGAGGGGCGGCCGGACAGGTAATAATTGCAGCACAGCTCTGCCCTACAAATCGCTCACTGCGCATTCACAACAGGAGCCTAAAGCATGCTAGCACCTCCGTCGCCTGGGCAGGCTGCTGTGTTGTACTACGCTGCGGCAAGGTTGTGAAGCGCAACCCAGAGCCTCGCACGATGGCCAGGCTGTGTCTTGCCCTCGGGGTTGTCTTTGCAGCACTGGCAGCCTTCAGCCCAGGTACACAGCCATCCCGCAGCCTTCGGTTTGATAGCGCTCGAGGAGAGCCTTGTGTGGTATCGACTACGGAAGCGCTGCGCTTTCAAAAGTAACTTGCTCCCGCAACTGCCACCAGCTGCCGCCGCCACCTCCTAGCCCGCCTGCCGTCCGCCTCTGCAGGCGCCTCCGCCCAGTTCACCTGCCCAACCTCCGGCTGTGATGGAGCGTGCACAGCTTGGACGGGATGTGTACAGTGGTGAGCAGAGATGGCCCTTCACAGACCGCATCTCTTTTGTGCTGCTGCCGCCCCAACCGGTTGCGGCGCCACCTGCCGCTGCCTTGCAGCAAGACTGGCTACGAGCGCTATCGAGCCTCCAACGGCCTGCTGATGTGCCGCAAGCGAAGTAAGCCAGCGGCACGGAAGCGCCCGCCGCCTCGCCCGCGGCCCTTGCCGCCACCGCCGTCTCCATCGCCGCCGTCGCCGTCGCCGCCGCCGCCGCCGCCGCCGCCGCCAGACGGCGTCATCATCAGCGACTCGGAGCCAGGCAGCTCGCCGCCGCCCGCGCAGCCTCGACCGCCGCGGCCCAAGCGCCCGCGCCCACCACGGCCGCCGCCACCGGCCAGCACACCCGCACCTGCCACCAAGGTCTACAGCGGCAAGGCGGGGGCGAGTGGGGGCGAGGTCAGCAGCGGCGACGGCTTCTCCTGCCCCTACCCGCGCCTCAGCAAGTGGCAGCGCCTCTATTACGCCGCAATACCCACCTCTCTGGTGCGAGAACAGGGCGGAGGGGTGGGAGGCGTGTGCAGGCGCGTGTGGTCAAAGCGGGTGGCACTGGAGCGCCATGGGACTTGCACCACTTTGCCATCCAGCCCGGGCAGCAGCAGCGCAGCCCATCCTGCGGCCGCCTTCTTGCCCCAAATCCCGCGGGCCCTGCCCGCCCCCCCCCGCCTGCAGTGGGACGACAGCAAGCCGTGTGGCCGCTGCGCGCTTGTGACGTGCGTCGACTCGCGCTGCAAAGTGCCGGGCCGCCAGGTGGCTGTCTTTTTCGTCGACCAGTGAGTGGGCCAGCCGTGCGGCCGGCTGCCACATGCCACGCTGCCGGCGGGCGACTGCGTCGCAGCTGTCGGCAGCTGCCATCGCTCCATGTCTTTCTTGCCTGGCGGCCGCAGGTGCGACTCATGCGGCACGAATGGCTTCTCCACCAGCAGCCCCGCCTTCCTCGAGCTGACCGGGCTGAAGCCGGATGAGGTGAAGGTGGAGTGGCAGTACACCTCCTGCGCCCCCTACACCACCGGCAGCATCCGGGTGAGGCGCCGTCCCGCCGCCCCCAATCACACCATGCGCAGTGCTGCCGGTGGCTCCAGGCCTGGCTGGTTTGGCTGCAGGCGCCGCCAGGGGTCCAGCCCCCGCTCCTTCTGCTTCTGCCGTTGAGCCGCCGCCCTGTTGCCGCTGCCTGCCCTCCTCCTCCTACCGCAGCTGGATCCCAAGTCGGGGGGGAACAAGTGGTGGCAGGTGGGCTGGGGCGTTTTGAGGGAGGGGCCCCAGCATGATACTGATGCCGACCCATGATCGGTTCAAAAAACAAAATGCACCAGGCATGGAGAGATTTGCGGTGCCCTGTTGCCACCTGTACTGCAGGAGCTGTACATCTACAACTCTGCTGAGGGCATCGAATCAGTCAGTCTGGACGGCACGCCCCTGAAGCGCGACACGTGAGCGGAGCAGCCAACTCCGCCAGGCGGCGGCCTGGTCAGCGCTGGTGGACAGGCAGGCCGCCGCGGGACCCCTAGGGGCCTCTGCCTGCCGTACCAGTCCTCTCCCAATCTATCCCGTGCTGGCGCTGCCCCCTGGCCCGCAGGTGGGGCTTCTGGGTGCACGATGGCGAGTTTGAGAAAGGAGGGAAGCACGAGCTGACAATCAGGGGTGAGAGCGGGCGAGCGCTCACCGCCACGGTCTCCGACGTGCTCAAGAGCCAGGACCTGGGCATCCAGTTCTAGCCTCAGCCGCAGCTCGGGCTTGCACCAGGCAGCTTCGAGCGCCGCACCAGTTGCAGGCAGGCACCTGCCGGCAGCGGCAATCATTTCATGCCATCCATCGTGCACCTCATTTTTGTGAATGCCTCTAGGATGAGTAGGATCACTTTTTTTCACTCTGTTCTAGTGTTCTTGTTTGATTCGTGCCCAGCCCCAGAACTTCTGTGCCTGACGGTTGGCTGAATAAAGAGGCAGCGCCCGCCACCCTACTCTATTGCTCCCAATTCTCTCCTACGATTTCTCCCCCTCTGCGTGATTTGTCCCCTAGCACTCCATTAACAACCCTCGGTTGCCCTCAAGAACCGTGCAACCTTCCAGCAAAGGTCCTCGGGCGCCGCTGGGGATGACCTCGACGCCGCTGCCAGGTGGCGGTTGAGACCTAGTTGCCACACGTGGCCGTTTGGAGTGCAATGGGGCAGCGGCAGGTCCCACACTACATGCAGGGGCGCCCCGCTCGCCACTGAGCTCCCCGTCCCCCGAAAACGGCGGTACTGCCGCACGCGTCCCGCTGAAGTTCCCGCCAAAATTGCTCCTCGCTCCAGAGCGCCGTCTGTTGGTCCTCCAGGCATCACTGCAGTTGCTTTCAGCAAGCAGGATGGCGACTACGGCTCCCGACAAGAGCCCGTTTGAGAGCCCTGCGGAGCTCCTGGGTGCTGCTGATGGCGGCAAGGATGAGACTGCACCGGATGCGATGACCAGCAAGGCATTGGACATGAGCAGCCCAAAAGACGAGCTTAATGCTGCCGATGAGGAGCTGAGCCTGTGGATGGTGAGCTTACAGGCAGCTTGCAAGCTCCAGAACTGGATCCTTTTGGACCGTATGCTCCGCAATGAGCCCGCAGGCTGCTGCGAGCGGGCTTGTGCATGTCACCCACCGGGCGGCGGCGTGCCTGCCTGCCCCGTCCTGCTGGCACTTCCCGCACGCCCTCACCTTTCATCCTCTCCTTCTTTCCTCCCTCCCCTTCTTCTTCAGTCACCGATGGTCACAAGGGCGCCGTTCATTCTGAGTAAGCCAGCCTGGAGTTCTGGGCCCCCAAGCAGGATGCGGTGGAGCATGCATGGCAGGTGCCACCTTTTGGGCGGGACGGTTGTGTTGATGCGCCCCGCTCTTCCCCTGGCCTGCCCCGCCTGCAGTCCAGGAATTCTGCGAGCGCCTGGCATACTATGGCATCTCAACCAACATCATCACGTAGGGCCAGGCAGCGCCGGCAAGGCCCCAGCGCAGCTGCGCATGGCGCCCGCGCCCATCCCGTGTTTCAACGGAGGAAAAGCACGCATGCGGATGAACCCGCCGGCGCTCCCTCGTCTCCATCTCTCCTGTCCTGCCTGCCCTCCCGCCCTGCAGCTACCTCACAGGCGTGCTCAACATCTCCAACAGCTCTGCCGCCGCCCAAGTGAATGCCTGGTCAGGTGGGGTGCCTGCCTGCCGCCGCCCTGCTCACGCTGTGCGCGGGCCGCCACCTAGCGCGCCGCTGACGCGGCCAGGGCGCGGCACACAGCACGCCTGGCCTGCACGGCAGCAAGCAGGACAGCCCGGCGCTGCGGCGCTCAAGCACCTCGGGACCGCAGCAGCCTTCCATCAGCTGCCGACATGTGCAATGCCGTGTGTAGGCACCTGCTACGTCACCCCTCTGCTGGGCGCCTTCCTGGCCGATGCCTACCTGGGCCGCTTCTGGACTATCCTCATCTTCAGCATCATCTACATGGGTGGCCTGGCGGGCCTGACCGTCTCTGCCGCCGACGACAGCCTGCACCCGGTGGACGGCGCGGAGGCCAGCAGCGGCCAGCTGGCCTTCTTCTGGGCATTCATGTACCTGATCGCGCTGGGCACGGGCGGCATCAAGCCCTGCGTGTCCACCTTTGGGGCAGGTGTGTGGGAGGAGGCGGGTGGTGTCGGCTTGTTGTGCAGGGAGGGGCAGGAAAATGCCCTGGCATGGGAGGATCTCCCACCTGCCCCTGCCTGGGCTCGCATGCATGCCTCGCTGCCAACCCTTCCGCTACTGGCAGAGGTGTCAAGGAAAATGCTCCTGATAGGCTTCCAGGCCTGTGGCAGCCTCGGTGCTGCACGGATTGCGGCGCTGTTTGCCGCTGATGCATCGGCCTTGTCGTCATAGCCTATTATAGCCTATTATAGCCTATTATAGCCAACAGTAGCCCACCCGTCCGCTCACAGAGAGCCATCGCGCCGGCCTCGCGCCGATCACCCCCACACCCCCACCCTCCACACTCACCCACCTACCCATCAGCATGTCAAGCAGCGAGGGAGCCAGCCTTGGGCAGCGCAGCCAGCAGCCGATCAGCAACTCGGCTTCCCGGGCATCCCTGCGGCCCGATTTCCCCCATATCGTGGTCAAGGGGCTCGCTCTGGAGGCCGGTGGGGGCCTGGGGGCCGCAGTCGCAGCCTTCGTTTTGTTTTGCCGGGCCAGCCTTCACCTGCCAGTGCCTGACTGTGTGCCTGTGACCTGCGTTGAGATTCGGGTGCGTGGGGACGGGCGCAGCGAATGCCACCTGCGACTGACTCCTGCCCTGTGCGGCGCCCTGATGGGTGCCCGCCGCCGCCTTGCGTGGGCAGCACCAGAGGTCAGCATTGACCTCTGGCGCTCACCTGGGGAGCTACAATACCTCCATGAGCTGCGCCAGCAGCGCGCGGAGGAGCCCCCAGCGCGCCAGGTGGGGCGGGCTGCGACCTCTCGCTGGTGGCGAGCGGCTCCCCTCCCGCCGCCCTCAGCTGAAGTCGTTGCCGCCCCTGTTGCTGCTACCCCTGCCCAGCCCACGCCTGCGCCGCCTACACTGCCTGCCGCCGCCGCCGCCGCTGCCGCCGCCGCCATGCCCATCGCCCGGCCGCACGCACGCCAGCCCGCCAGCCCGCCGCCAGCCAGCCAGCCAGCCAGCCAGCCCCCACAGCCCGTATGCTAGCCGCTGCCTGCCGCGCCGCCGCCGCCGCCCACCACCACCACCATGCCTGCGCCCACGCCCACGCCGCCTGCCGCCGCACAGCCCGCCGCCGCACAGCCCGCGCCTGCCGCTGCCGCCGCGCCCCCTGCCGCCGCGCCCCCTTCTGCCTCCTCCCCCGCCCGCCTGGACCCGCAGGAGGCTGAGGAGTGGTGCACCATGGAAGGCGTCATCGATCAGCGGGGCAGGGGGAGTGGCACGCGGTACCTGTGCCGGTTTGAGGGGTATGGCGCGGATGACGACATGTGGCTGCCGGCCGGCCAGATCACGGAGGTGGCGATGGCAGCGTGGCGGAGTGGCGGGCAGCGGGAGTGGCGCCAGCGGGTGGCCAGCCAGCCAGCCAGTCAGCCTGTTACCTTGAGTGGCGGCTGCCCCGCCTCGGGGGAGGAGCCCGCCCCTGGTGCTGCCCATGTGCGGCGCAGCAGGCGGCGGGTGGGACAGCCGTCAGGGGCCCGCTAGGGGGTTGGGAGCCAGGCGGGCGCCGCTGTGCTATTGTTGAACACACGCGGCTTCCTGGCCCATGACACAGCCGCGGTAGCAGCCTTGCTGCCTGCTGCGCCAAGTGATGTGCTCCTGTTCACTGAGACACACCACTTGCCGGGCGCCACCCCACCCAGCCTGCAGGGCTACTCGCTTGTGAACCACCGACCAGGGACCCCCTGCTCGACGGGCAGGGGACGCGGCGGCGTGGCCATCTGCGCCCGCAGCTCTCTGGTGGGTCGGGTCCAGCAGTGGCACAGCTGGGAGGGAGTGGCTTGGATTCAGATCCGGGGGGAGGCTGGCCCCCCGCGATACGTGGCGAGTGTGTACCTGCCGCCACAGCGGACCAGCGAGCAGCTGGCTGCATTTTATGGGAGATTGCAGCAGGATGTCCTCGCTGCACAGGCGGCTGGCGGCACGGTATGCATTGGGGGGGACCTCAATGGCCGCACCGCCAGCCTGCCAGACTGGGTGGAGAGTGAGGAGGGGCGCACTCTCCTAGACCGCTGCGTTGCGTTCCCCCCCCGCGCTAGCTGCGACGGGGAGGTAAACCCCCAGGGGCGGGCGCTCCTGGGTTTCTGCGCTGCCACGGGCCTGGCTATCGCCAATGGGCGCCTAGATGGTGACCAGCAAGGGGAGTGGACGTTCCACTCCCTGGCACATGCCGGGAAGAGCCTGGTGGACTACTTCCTGTTGAGCGGGGAGGTGGTGGGCCGGGCTGGGAACAGGTTGCTGGTGCAGCCCCCAGCAGATCGATTCGACCACGCCACCCTGCGCCTGCAGCTAGCGGGTGATTCCCAGGCTGCGGGTGCAGGGCCCTGCCCCGCCGAGGGGCTGGGGCCGAACCCGTGCGGTCCGGAGTACCGCTTTGTCCCCTCGCTGCTCCCGGCATTTGTGGATGCACTGCGGGGGGCGAGACCCGCACTTGAGGCAGCGGCGGCCGCCGCCGCTGCCGCCACCTCCATCGAGCAGCTCACTGCAGCATGCATGAGCTTTGATGGGGTAGTGACCAGCTCCCTAGATACCGCTGGTATGCCAGTCCGGCAGGCGGGCCCTGCCCGACCGCCAGGCTGGCAGCGACAGGCATGCAAGGACCCGCCCACTTCCCGTCTCCGCCGGAGGAGACGGCGGGCCCTGAGCCGTCGTGACTTCACCCTGGCTGTTGCTCTCAACCGCCAGATGTGTGCCGCCGCCCGGCGGCACAAGCGCCAGGTGAAGCGCAAGAGGGGTCGTGACCTGGCACGGCTCGAATTCGATGCCCCGGCTGCCTTCCACAGGCTGCTCAAGGGCAAGGGGGAGGGCGCGGACCCCTCCATCACGGCCGGTGATTGGAACGGCCACTTCCGGTCACTCTTGGGCTACACACACGTGGCTGCCGCGGGCAGGCCCGCCCCTGCCGCCGCCGCGGGCGCGGCGCAGGCGGCGGGCGCCGTGGCAGGCCGTGCTCATGCCTCACAGTTGACACCGGCACATCAACAACTGCATGAGCCATTCACTCTCCCAGAATTGACGGAGATGGCGCAGCGAGCGAAGAACAGCAAAGCCAGCTTGGGTGCCCTGAAGCCTGAGATGCTGAAGGGTGCTATCAAGCAGCTAGGCCCTTCGCTCGTCGCGCTGCTTAACGCCTGTGTACGGATTGGGGCGTTGCCGGCCCAGTGGGCGATCAGTGCGCTGACACCGATCCGCAAGCTTGGTGCGGACCACCTGCGCTGTGACGGCTACCGCGGCATTGCCGTGGGCACACTGCCGGCCAAGCTGTTTGCCAGCATGCTTCAGAGCAGGTTTACAACCCACACTGAGGCGGCGGGCATTCGGGCATCTGGCCAGGCGGGGTTCCGGCCAGGGTACGGTTGCCGTGACCAGCAGCTTGCACTGCGAGCCATCATTGAGCGGCAGCGGGCATTCGGGCATCTGGCCAGGCGGGGTTCCGGCCAGGGTACGGTTGCCGTGACCAGCAGCTTGCACTGCGAGCCATCATTGAGCGGCAGCGGGCGCGTGGGCAGCCGTTGTATGCCTGCTATGTGGACTTCAAGCAGGCCTTTGATAGGGTCCCGCGGCATCTGCTGTGGCAGAAGCTGGAGAGCGCCGGTTTGGGAGGCTGGGCGGTGCGGGCGGTGCAGGCCCTCTATGCGGCGGTTCCCATGTGCGTACGAGTGCCTGGTGGGTACACACCCACATTTCAGGCCACCTCAGGGGTCAAGCAGGGCTGCCCCTTGAGCCCTATATTGTTCGGTCTGTTCCTGGATGACTTCGAGTCCGGGCTGGTGCAACAGGCTGCGGCCGCGGCTCTGCCTCGCTGGCAGAGCGGGGAGTGCGTGCCGCCATTATTTTACGCTGATAACCAGGCCTTGCTGGCCACCACGCCGGCAGGCCTGCGTTTCCAGCTTGGTTACCTTGAGAGCTACTGTGCCGCCTGGGGCCTGACGGTTAACACCAAAAAGACCCAGGTGGTAGTGTACACCACTGGCAGGGCTGCTGCCAC